TAATACTTTAATATATTCATAATTGTATATATTGCCTCTTAAGTTAATGAACATAAAACGGCAAATATTTTGTTTAGTATTATTTCTTAAGCATTTCTTTCCTGAAGTCCTAGAATCACTTCTTTTTGCTAATGACTCACATTTCTACCAATTAATGTGAGGTTAAATTATATTTAAATTTAACAAGATATCAGATGGATATGTAATTTTAAAAAATAATGCATTAATAGCTTTTTAATAAATTAATGAGGATTTAAATATAGAAAATATTTTATAATAATATATGAAATGATTACTTATCAGAAATGTCACTTATTAAAGATGTTCATATCATAATCAGCACTCTTTTTATCTCTTTTCTATCAATATTGAGAACAGAATAAAGTTGTCACACTGTTCATGATTATTGATAGGAAGCTACGTAGCAAAGAAGAAAGAATAAGATGTTCAAATGAATTATGGTGAGCCAAATAGGCATAGTGGTTTTTGATGGTGGTTTCTTCTTTATTCGTTCTTTTATCAATGTGCTAGGATTGCAGATGTTGCAGCATAGCATGAGGCCAAGGCTGCTGGAGTTTACGATGAGCCAAATTGACTTGCCAGGAAGTTCTTTATTTGTTGTTTCCATCCTGCATTTTAGACAACTGGCATCAGAAGAATATGTGAATGCTAGGATAATATTGACTTTTGGGACTGAAAAAGTAAGAATTGTATAGACAGGAGAGTCAGAAAACTGAAGTGACTGTGAGAGTCAAAATTCTACCTATTCTAATCTATTTTCTGGGCTCCGAAACTATTTGCAAATATGTGAAAAATATGCTGTAATATTTTTCATATTCAAAGGACTGTTGATTAATCTCAGTTGATATACTGACTTGATATTGGTAACCAATCTACTCCTACAAGAACATATTTTATTAAATAATAGCTATAGTTTTCTGGGGAAAAACTGATCAATGTTTTCAATGGCATAAATAACAAAGGGGTACATATGCAACTTCTCTCTCTCTCTCTCTCTCTCTCTTTTTTTTTTTTTTTTTGGGAGAGTCTCCGTTTGTTGCCCTGGCTAGACTGAATAGAGTGCAGTGACTGGATCATGGCTCACTGCAGCCTTGAACTCCTAGTCTGAAGTGATCCTATGTCAGCCTCCTAAGTAGCCAGGAATACAGGCTCCCAAGTAGCTGGAAGTCCAGCCCAGGCTTTTGATACCACTGTTTATTGTCTGTTGAACAAGCTTCTAGCTAAAAGTTAGCAATGATAACCTCATGTACTCTGATGCACTGTTGGTGGGATGTAAAGCTGAAATGTCTTTATTAGCGTCGTTTCAAAGCAACATCAAGTGTTTTTAAAGTAGGCGTAGTTTCAGATCTAGCAATTACATTTCTAATATTGTAAGTGAGGAAATTAAGATGGGCTGAAAGACTAAACACAGTGGCATTTTTAACTAATAAAAATCTGAAGTGCTCTAATCTTCAATAAGAAATGGTTAATATATTATAGTATATTTATATAATAGAATATCATGGGATCATTTTTAAAAATATCTATCTATCTATCTATTTATTTATTTATTTATTGAGACAGACATTCTGTCACCAGGCTGGAGTACAGTAATTCAATCAGAGCTCACCGAAACCCTGAACTCCTGAGCTGGTACCACAAGCTTGGCAGCACCATGCCTGGCTATTTTTTATTTTTATTTTTTATAGAGATAGGTGTCTCATTTTGTCCAGGCAGGTCTTGAACTCCTGGCCTCAAGCCATCCTCCCACCTCAGCCTCCCAAAATGCTGTAAGACAAGCCACAATGCCCAGGAGGGCCATATATATATATGATAGCTCTAAATATCAAACTATGAAAGCATAATAAAAAGCAAACTTCTTTGGTTTTTTTGAGAGATAGAGTCTCACTCTGCCACCTAAACTGGAGGGCAGTAGTGCAATCTCAGCTCACTGCAACCTCCACCACCTGGGTTCAAGATATTCTCCTGCCTCAGTCTCATGAGTAGCTAGGATTACAGGTATGCGCCACCATGCACAGCTGATTTTTTCTATGTTTAGTAAAGACAGAGTCTCAAAATGTTGGCCAGGCTGGTTTAGAACTCGCAACCTTAAGTTATCTACGTGCCTCGGTGTCCCAAAGTGCTAGGGTTACAGGTGTGAGCCACCATCTCTGGCTAATAAAAACAAACTTTTTTAACTTTGAAAAGCTATATGACATTATCAACATTTGTATATGACTGGCATGATGAATTGAATTTATTTTTCTACTCTTAATTTTTACATTTTCAATAATTAGCATTTATAACATATAACAATAGCAAAACATGAGTAAAAAAAAGGCAATCCTAAGCCAGGCTTTGTGGCTCATGCCAATAATCACAGCACTTTGAGAGGTCGAGGCAGGAGGATTACCTGAGGTCAGGAGTTCAAGCCTAGCCTGGCCAACTTGGTGAAACCCTGTCTCTAAAATATAAAAACTAGCTGGATGTGGTGGTAGGCACATGTAATCCGGCTTCTCAGGAGGCTGAGGCAGGAGAATCACTTGAACCAGGGAGACAGAGTTTTCAGTGAGTGGAGATTTTGCCACTGCACTCGAGCCTAAGCGACAGAGTGAGACTCTGTCTCAAATAAAAGAAAATCAAATCTAAGAGGAAAATGTGTATGCAGTCATCAATACACACTAACACACACACAGGAGAGAGAGAGAAAAAAAGAGAGAGAAGAAAAAGATAATGAGAAGGAGGAAGAGAGGGAGAGACAGTAGAGAGTATAAAGATGGTAATAATTATTAGCTTTATATTACCAAAAATAGTAAAGTAAAAATTACTTTAGCCTCTTTCCCCTATTATAAAAAGAGTTAGGTGTGATACTTGTTTGAATTAATCATTTTCTGTCATATCCGCAATTTTTCCAAGTCTTCCAAAAATTCTAAGATGCATGATTCCTATTGTGTGCCTCATGTTTCAATGCATTTTCTCACTAAATTTTGTGGCACACTAACTTTATTGACTGTACTTCTAATTCTAGTTTATTTCTACACTGGTTTAACTCATAATTGGTAACATTCCTCTTCCTTTGCTATCATATGTGTAGGTCATAAATAGTTATTTTTCTTGAAATATGTGTAAAGAGGGAAAAACTATATCGCATAATTAGTAAAAATTGGAATTTAACTTCCTAAAGTTTTATGGTCTGAGATTGATGTGGTTTGTCTGTGTCCCCACCCACAGCTCACCCTGAACTGTAATAATCCCCATGTGTAAAGGGCAGAGCCAGGAGGAGATAATTTAATCATGGGGTGATTTTCTTTTTTGCCATACTATACTCATGGTAGTGAATACGTCTCACAAGATCTGATAGTTGTGTAAATGGGAGTTCCTCTGCACAAGATCTCTTGACTGCTGCCATGTAAGATGTCACTTTGCTCCTCATGTGCCTTCAGCCATGATTGTGAGGCCTCCCCAGCCATGTGGAACTGTGAATCAATTAAACCTCTATCTTGCATAAATTATCCAATCTTGGGTATGTTATTATTAGCAGCATAAAAACTGACTAATCCAGTAAATTGGTACCAGGAGTGTGGTGCTACTGTAAAGATACCCAAAAATGTGGAAGCGCCTCTGGAACTGGGTAATAAGCAGAGGTTGGAACAATTTGGAGGGCTCAGAAGAAGATAGGAAGATGTGGGAAAGTTTGTAACTTCCCAGAGACTTGTTCAATGGCTTTGAAAAAATTCTGATAGTAATATGGATAATGAAGTCCCAGCTGAGGTGGTCTCAGATGGAGAAGAGGAACTTGTTGGGAACTGGAGCAAATGTGACTCTTGTTATGTTTTAGCAAAGAGACTGGTGGCATTTTGCCCCGGCCCTAGAGATTTGAGGAACTTTGAACTTGAGAGAGATGATTTAGAGCATCTGATGGAGGAAATTCGAAGCTGTAAAGCCTTAAAGATGTAACTTGGGTACTGCTAAAAGCATTCAGTTTTATGTATTCACAAATATATGGTTTGGAATTGAAACTTATGTTTAAAGGTGATGCAGAACATAGAAGTTCAGAAAATTTGCAGCCTGATGATGTGATAGAAAAGAAAAATCCATTTTCTGAGGAAAAGTTCAAGCCGGCTCCAGAAATTTACTTAAGTATGGAAGAATCAAATGTTAATCAACAAGACAATGGGGAAAATGTCTCCAGGGTATGTTAGAAGTCTTCATGGCAGCCCATCATATCACAAACTGGGAAACATAGGAGGAAAAAATGATTTTGTGTGCTTGGGCCATGGCCTTGCTGCTTTGTGCAGTCTCTGGAGTTGGTCGGTGCATCCTAGCCATGGCTTGAAGAGGCCAACCTTGAGCTCAGGTCATTGCTTCAGAGGGTGCAAGCCCCAACCCTTGGCAGCTTACATGTGGTGTTGGGATCAAGGGCACAGAGATCAAGAATTAAGGTTTGGGAACCTTGACCTAGATTTCAAAGGATGTATGGAAATTCCTGGATGTCTAGGCAGAGGTTTGCTGCATGGGCAAAGCCCTCATGGAGAACCTCTGCTAGGGCAGTGCAGAAGGGAAATGTGGCATGTGAATCCCCACACACAACCCCCACTGGGACACTGCCTAGTGGAATTGTGAGAAGAGGGTCACAGTCCTCCAAATCCCACAATCGTAGGTATATTGACAGCTTGCACCTTTTTCTTGGAAAAGCTGTAGACACTCAGTGCCAACCTGTTAAAGCAGCCAGTAGAGGGGCTGTATCCTGCAAAGCCATAGGGGTGGAGCTGCCAAAGACCATGGGAATCTACCTTTTGCATCAGTGTGATCTGGATATAAGACTTGGAGTCAAAGTATATTATTTTGGGGCTTTAAGATTTGACTACCCCACTGAATTTTGGACTTGCATGGAGCATGATGCTCCTTCATTCTTATCAGTTTCTCCCATTTGGAATAGATATATTTACCAAATGCCTGTACCCCCATTGTATCTAGGAATTAACTAACTTCATATTCACTCTACAGGCTCATAGGCGAAAGAGACTTGCCTTGTCTCAGATGAGACTTTGGACTGTGGACTTTTGACTTAATGTTGAAATGAGTTAAAACTTTTGGGGAGTGTTGGGAAGACATGATTGGTTTTGAAATGTGAGGATAAGATTTGGGAGTGGCCAAGGGTGGAACAATATGATTTTTCTGTGTTTCCACCCAAATCTCACCTTGAATTGTATTAATAATTTCCACATGTCAACAGCAGAGCCAGATAGAGATAATTGAATTATAGGGGCAATTTCTCTTATACTGTTCCTGTGTTAGTGAATAAGTCTCATGAGATCTGATGGTTTTATAAATGGGAGTTTCCCTGCAAAAGCTCTCTTGCCTTCCTGTCACCATGTAAGAACTGACTTTGCTCTTCATTTGCCTTCCACCATGATTATGAGGCCTTCCCAAGCCATGTGGAACTGTGAGTCAATTAAACCTCTTTCTTTTATGAATTACCCAGTCTCGGGTATTTATTAGCAGCATGAAAACAGACTAATTACAGTAAATATCATAGATAATTTTTTTTAACAAATGCTTTTCTGATGTCCACATTCCTGGATTTTTTCTCTTTGAAAACCGTTTTGTATCTTCCTTTTCCTCAAGCACCTAAACTCTTATCTTCTCAACCAAGAAGAATATTTCCAAAAGCATTTTCAGTTAAACCCTTCTCTGCCTGAATAAGTCCCATGAGAGATGATGCTTTTATAAAGAGGAGTTCCCCTGCATAAGCTCACTCTGCTGTTTGCCTTCCACCATTCATGTATGATGTGACTTGCTCCTCCTTGCCTTCCATCATGATTTTGAGGCCTCCCCAGCCATGTGGAACTATGAGTCCATTAAACGTCTTTTTCTTCCCAGTTTCGGGTGTGTTTTTATTAGCAGCGTTAAAATAGACTAATACATTGCCCAATCTCTCTCACGGAGGCTCTGCCCACAGATCCTCAACAATAATAATTCAAAAAATTCATAAGAAACTTTCCTTGTCCACACTGACCAAAAATGGAACTGGCCTCTGAAATAACACTTTTTCCTTCATTCCCTCCTTATTAAATTTATAAAATTATATAAAAACACAGAAAATTATATGGATAGTAGAAATACCTAATTTTTGTAAAGTGATAAAAGGACATGAGGCAAATATAAAAATGTATATGATGGTTTGTAGTAAAACTGGTTGATTCCATCAAAGACACTATCAGTCCTTTATATTTGATAATTACAAATGTATTGAATCATCAGTGCTGATGACCACTGAAGGAGAAGTACAGGACTAAATAAAATGCTTAAACATGAGTCATAAATCACAAACCAAAGTCATAGTTTGAAATCCATTGATAGTTCTTATGTTAATTCTGAACTTGGTTATTAGATGAAAATTAATAAAGTATGAAAATGATTGTATATGATTTATTTTATAAATACATATTTAAACATTGAATAAATTTTCCAGAAAAAAAAAAACCTAGGGAAAAAAGTCTTCCTCTTTTTTAGCTTAATAAAACATATTCCTAGTATTATTTGCATTGTAACATCAAATTTTATTTTATGTTTACAAAAAATAAAAAGAGCAAAAGGGCAGAATAGAAATACTCACTTCAGTATTTAAAAAAAGAAAAAAAAAAAAAAACACTTTGAATCCTTATTCATAGGCGTGTACACGAAGCATTCCTGCTGACATTCACAGCAAGCAAGTCTAAGGACAACAGCTTTGGTAGGCCCCCAATGGGATATGAGAAGATGTAAACATTAGTAACCTCAAAACATAATGAGATTCCACAAAGGAAACTTTTGCAATATTGCATTTTCTCTTAATACTTTGCCTGTCAAAATTATTTTACATCAAGTGATTTTTTTTTTGTAAACATTTTATTTTCAGATAATTATAGACTGGCTGGATGTTGCAAAGAAATGTGTAAAGAAGTCCCATGTACACTTTCTCAAACCTCCTTCAATGTTATAATACACACTTATAATAAAAAATCAAAACCAAGAAATGGACATTGGTACATTTTATGGAACATATTCAGATTTCAAATATTATAAATGTACTTATTTGTGAGTGTGTATGTGTATGTGTATGTGTATATTTAAATCTATGTAATTTTATTTCTTGGGTAGCCTTGTGTAACCCCCAGGAAAATCAGGATACCCAATTATTACTGCAACATTCCCTTATGTTATCTATACGTCTACTGCCCGCTATCCCTCGCACCTAGAGATCACTAACCAGTTTTCATTTATATTGCTATGCTATTTCACAAATGTTACATAAATTGAATGATGTAGTTTGCATCCTTTGGAAATTGGCTTTTTTATTCAGTATAATTTTTGTGAGCTTCATCCAAGTTATTTGTAATTCAACAATAGCTTATTCTTTTTTATTGCTAATTAGTATTCCATAGAATGAATACACCACAGCTTGTTTAACCATTTACTCATTGAAGGACATTTGGGTAGTGTCCAGATTTAGGCTCTTACAAATAAAACTGCTATTAACATTTGTGTACAAGTTTCTTTGTGAAAATAAGTCTTCATATCTGTGACATAAATGCTCAAGAGTGCAACTGTTAGGCTGTATGGGAAGTCAATTTTCATCATCAATTTTTAATGATATGTGGTTATAGCCATGCCCATTGCACCCTCAATTTATTCAACAAGAACAGGATGAATTGGATCCAATAATATAATAAATCTCCTTAAAAAGAAAATATTAGAACACACAAAAATATTCAACATACACAAAAAAGTAAAATGAAATGGCTAGTGGAATATTACATAAATAAAATAAGAGGATAATTCAAATATCAAATGAATGTCCTTGTATATAAACGATGTAACATATTTCTGTATTTAAACTTTACGCATCCTAAGAGTAGGGAAATAATTATCTTAATAAACTATTAGCCACACAACCTTTACCTCATTGATTTATTAAAAATATATTCATCAATCTTATTCTATCTCTTTAAAAATTGTTCCACACTCCTAACACTCATACTCCAGTATCTGAATGAGTAACTCATATCACTTGGTCCCAAACTGACATTTCAAAAGATGTGTTCAAATGCATTTGCAGAGATATTTTTGAGTTCATTCAAGCCGAGCAGTACTTCTTATCTTTTGAAATGTCAGGTAGCTGGTCTAAAGAAAATGGAAACAGATCTCTTTTTAAACATCATCACATAATCACACATGTGGGCATAGGATTGTGACTTGGTTTGTACAAGCATACTGTGGGCAAATATATTTGCGTGCAAAATGTTTATTTTATGGAAAAAAAAGAAAAAGCACTTGCAAAGTAAAAATCAACCATCTTAATTATTTCATATTATGAGTTTTACTTGAAATCCTCTTATCCCCTTTTAGATTTTTTTTCATGGCTCTCAGTTTATTATCATGCAGTAATATTATACTATGAAAATCCAAGAAGCTTACAACATAGAGCAGATATTTTAATCAGATTTTTGAAACGTAAGTTTGACAATAAAATATTAAAACAAAACATTTTCAAAGAACAATACGAAAACATCAGTGTATATCCTTTATGCCATATGAATAAGTACTAAATTTATTTTTGTTTAAAATCATTAAAATGTACTGATTAATTTTTGCATTATATCCATTTTAGAAGTCCCCTGGAAATTTACTAAAGTTATTAACAAGAGCTACTCGGGAGGCTGAGGCAGAAAAATCACTTGCACCCAGGAGGCAGAGGGTGCAGTGAGCTGAGTTTACACCACTGCACTCCAACCTGGCGAAAGAGCAAGATTCAGCCTCAAAAAAAAAAAAAAAAAAAAAAATTTATATATATATATATATTTTTTTAAACAAACACATTCAACATTACAAAGAGCAAGAGAACAGGAAAAGAGAAAATGTAAAAATATTTTGGAAGCTGAACAGCAAATGAATGAGTGGTGAGTAATCTAATAGACCGAGAAAGTTAAATCCTAAATAACAGGTAGAAAAACTCAATAGCAACCTAACTTTTGCCTCGAGAAACCTCTGAAATGTGTTGTATTAGATAACTCTGATAGTTGGATAATGGAATGAAAACAGAGTTTTGTTGAAAGTGTGTTTTTAAATGTATCCTTTTTCCAAATTCTGTTTACTAATCTGGTCACTTAAACAAGTAGATTGCCCACTTCCTTACTCCATTCGAATCTGCAGTTTTATTCCATAAGAAATGTAATACAGAAAGCTCTGTTCTAGTTTATATCAGGCAGGATGAAGATAAGAACAGCCTCCTAAATATCATATGCTATATTAATTGCCTGTTGCTGTAAAATAAATTATCCCAACATTTATTTGCTAAAAACTACCTTTATCATTCACGGTTTCTGTAAATCTGGAAACTGGATTCAGCATAGCTGGGTTCTGTGGTTCAAGGTTTCTCATAGGCTGAAATTAAGGTGTTGGATGGAACTGTGGTCATCTCAAGGCCCAACTTCAATTCATTAGCAGCAAGGCATTGGGTCAGCCCACACTCAGGAGTGGGGATGAAACAAGGTTGTAAATATCAGAAGGTGAGATTATAGTGGACATCTTAAAAAGTATGTCTCTACCACATAGGGCCTTTGTGCACTGCACTCCAGAATTGCCACCCTTCTTGCCTACTCAGCTTTGAAGTCATGAGATAGGGATAAAATATGGAAGAGTACAAGAAAAGGGCTTCTGAAAATTAAATATATATGATTGAAGTGAAAAATGCAATAAAATAATTAATTGTACTTTTAGAAAAGAAAACAAGGAGGCAAAAACCTGGGGAAACAACCAAGGAATTTAAGAAATTCAGAAGACTTGTTAAAAGGCCAAAATATTCAAAGTATTATTTTTCTAACATAACAATTCCAGAAATGAAAGAAATAAAATTATCAAATAATTGAAATAAAACATCTAAAGATGAAGGGCACAAGCTTGCATATTGAAAGCCAATACCCCACACTAAGTGTTCAGGAAAATGGATAAAAATAAACTTGTGCAAAGGCACATGGACATGATATTTCAGAGCAATAATGAAAAAGAAGATGCTATTAGCTTCTGTAAAGAGAGAGAAAAACATAATAAAATAAAGCAATAAGTGAGGAAAGAGTCAGAATCAGTATCATTTTATAGCAGGTCTGGAAAATAGACCACAATGGAGCAATGTCTTCAAAATGTAGAAGAAAAAATAGTTTCAATCCTGACTCTTTCATCCAGCTGAATTATCAACATGTATGAGGATTGAATTCATTTATATTCTTAGTACTACTTATTCAACCTTTTTTTAGGAAGGTACTGGTGGATATGCTGTGTCAAAACATGAGTGTAAATCAAGAAATAACAACAAAATAACAGAATTCTGAGAATATGGTCAAGGATGATCCCAAGATGAGATCGGTAGCTCAGGCATGGAGTCCAACCAACCAGTCCTAACTGGACAGATCAGAGGCTGTTGGAGTTAGTTCTATAAAAAGATAAACTTGATGGAATGCCTGATAAATATTAATGCAAGGAGAAGCATTTAAGGTAATTGGCAGTTAATTTGGGGTTATTTAAGTGATAACTAGAAAGACCCAGACAATTATTCAGGAAAAAATATGTTTTCAGGAAATGACAAGCAATCGTAAGCTATGTCTTGACTCACCTGTCAATAGCATTCACATGGTAATAATAATGTGAATAGTTAATGTAGATGCAATAAAACTTTCGATAAGTAAGAGTGATGGAAAGATGGGTTGAAGAGGGAAATGATGAAAGAAAATCAAGTTCTTATCTTTATTATTGTAAATTCAACAGATACATAAAACTTTAAGAAATAGACATGCTAACATATATACATAGTATTTAGAGGTATAGTGTTATAGGCCCAGATATCCAGCAAAAATGGTTGAAATTGTTGATTTTGGACATTTGATTCAAAAGTAGGGACAATGAATCACTATCTCAGAAACCTTATAGAATTATGTGATTCTTACGTGCATGTACAATATTGATAAAAATAAAACTAAAAAAATATGGTTTGTGTGTTTTTTAATATTTTGCAAATATTTAACATATATAACAATTCTTCAATTTGGTTTTGATATCTCAGCATTATATTTCCAACTTCTATACATGTCAATAAGTGTATATATCTTTTGGTTACTCGTGTAGTTTTACACTACTCTGATCATATGGATTAATGCATAATTTAAAGATCCATTTTTATTTTTACTTTTGGAAATGCAGTGAAGACTTAAACGTTTTGTGAGAATTTCTCTGGGCTTATATATTTAGAAATGAAATTGAAGGATTGTAAGTATGGACATTTTAATCTTAATATTGCCAAGTTGTTTCCTAAAATGCTTGTATAACCTTTCAACAGAAATATTCCAAGTTTGGCAAAAGATGAATACTGTTGCCCTTCCCCTTCCCAAAGCAAGAGGTAGTTCTGCTTTGACAAATGTTTATCAGTCAGCTTTTCATTTACTTTATTGTTAAATTTTGTTAGTGTCTTTTCTCTAAGGAGTATATGGGGTTTCACTTATTTTCTATGCAACAATAAATGCAGGAGGACAGTGAAGCAAAGCCAATAGAGATTTTGTAGAAAAATGATTGTGATTCAAAAATGTTATTCTTAGCACACATATTGTTCATATGTGTAGAAAACAACCAGAGCCATGTATCACTTCAAAAGAATAAACCCTAATGTATTTTCCTTTAAAAATTTCTGAAAGAATTATTTTGTACCACAAAGAGATGAACAAAATATGAACTAAGGAAGGCTATTCAACAGGAAAACTAACATAAATGTATGAAAGCTCTAACTTATGTGGGGAGGGATAGGATGTTAGTGGATATAAATAACTGTTGTAATTATAACTCCAAAATAGAATGTTTAAGTCTAAACAATCTGGAAAGACAAGTTTATTTTTTATTATGAAATTTGTAACCTGAAGATACAATAAATATGAACTGAGAAAAAATACTAGGAAAGTAATATAAGGAAAATAAATTTAAAAGTCTATTTTTATATTAATGTAACTCATCTTTTTAAAACTAACATGTCACAATGTTTAAGTAGTTGAGTTGAAATAAGGACCCTATTTTAAAAATTACTAGATAAAAGTCAGCAAAACAAAAGATGTAACAATTAGGAATAAATAAAAACGTAAAATAAAACTATACGTGGACCAAATAAAACATTATGGAAATAAGTAAGAACTGCTTAAATATCTTGACTAAAGTTGAATACTCATGTCCTTTGTCGGGATATGGATGACGCTAGAAGCTATCATTCTCAGCAAATTAACAGAGGAACAAAAAACCTAACACCACACGCTCTCACTCCTAAGTGGGAGCTTAACAATGAGAACACATGGACACAGGAAGGGGAACTGGGGCCTGTCGGGGGTAGGGGGTAAAGGAAGGGAGAGCATGACCACAAATAACTAATGAATGCAGGGCTTAAAACCTAGATGACAGGTTGATAGGTGCAGCAAACCACCCTGGCACATCTACACTTATGTAACAAACATGCGCATTCTGCACATGTATCCCAGAACTTAAAAAAAAAAAAAGTTAAGATACTCAAGCTCAGTAACAAGAAAACACTCTTTACTATTGTTGTTTCATGCATGATCTCACTCAGAAAATGATCTTTCAAACAAAACCTGATGAATAGAAAATTTTTAAATGATTTAGATAATATTTGAAGAATGGAGAGAAAATACATGGATATGTCGGCAATGAGATAAAATGAAATATCCTTTGACCTCTCTGTCTGTGGAGTTTCTTCTCATTTTACAATGATCTGCTCAAATATCACTTCTTATTTAAGTATTTACCAATAGGCCACAATCTTAAAGACTGAATTTTCAGAGTCAGGGGAGATGTTTGTCAAAGGGCACAAGGTTTCAGTTACACAGGATAAATAAGTTTGGCATTGTGATTATAGTTAATAATAATGTATTATATACTTGGAAATTGCTAAGAGAGTAGGTCTTAAATGTTCTTACCACAAAAAAGAAGGATGTGCTGAGGTTTATGTTAATTAGATATATTTAACCATTGCACAATGCATACATATCAAAACATCATAGTGTACACGGTGAATATATATATTTTTTATTTGTCTATTATACCTTAATCGAAAATGAATGAATGACTCACTATTCTTGTATATTTTTATTACTTCCAAGGAACAGTTGGACTTGGTGGTTCTGATGAGCTTCCTTTACTTCGTGAAGTCTTCAGTGGCAGAAAATGTGTGCTAGTCATATTCGTTGACATTGTCATTTCTAGAATAATCTGAAATGTGTTATGTATTCAAATTATATTTATGAATTGAGCTAAAATACTCAATATTAATCTGTCTCACAATTCATAAACAGGTAACATTTCATAAATTATCATACTTTGTAACTTTGTTATAACCACCATATTTTAGAATTATGACTAAGTCATACATCCTTCAATGTGTTAGGAATATTTTCAAGCTCTAAGATCATGGTATATTAACTTGCAAAATACTGAAAATAAAATGGTGAATTTTGAGTATTTTGGCATTTAGAAGACATAGATATTTTTAGTCTAGCAACACAACATTATATCAAAATAATACATTTATTAATATAAATATATACATGAATGCGTTTTCCCCCATTTTCTGGTCTTTCCCACATTCTTACAAACAGTCTTTTACAAATTCTGTTTTAGAACAATGGCAAAATTGGGAAAGAAGACATAATTTCAGACAAACTGCTTTACATTTTTATCATTATCTTAAGGAAATCATGGAAGTTGCTCTAATATCAAGGATTAAATTTGAGTCTGGGTTTATTATGCTTTTTTTTTTTCTCTTAGTAGAATACATTTTTTCTTCCATCTTCATGAAAAAGTTTGATTGTATCCTAGGTGTCAATTTCAATTAGAAGTCTAAATTAAAAAGCAAAAAACAAAACTTCTTTGAGTTATAAGTCAGTGAAATCAGTTTCACTGTTTTACTGAAGTAAAAAGCATCTTTTAGTTAACATATTTTAGAGACATACATTTAATTTTTAATAACACTGTATTTTATATATATATATATATAATTCGTATTCAAATTTGCACACAACTACTGGTAAAATTGCTATAACTGTGTTTGCAAGTGTGGCTGAAAAAGCTCAATGCCTGATGAAGAGCCGTTTTCACAATTTTTACAGTTCTTTTCTTTAGATTTTTATGGAGCTGGATTGTTTCATTGTTTTTTAGTTGGTTTCAGTTTCCACCTTATAGTCCGGCATGCTCACATCTCCCCTAGCTTGGGAATTGCTAATTAGTGAAGACAAATCTATTTATTCCAGTTCTTTTTCAGGTGTTTAGGTGTTATAAGTTATGTGAATTTTGCTTTGAGTTGTATTACATTCTTTTTGTATCCTTTCTGCCTGGATTGCAGTTCTCAGATCTGAAATAAGGAACTCAATTGAAAGACATTTTAGGTGCCCACTGATTATACTGGAACACAATGGTATTTCAAGTCATGCATCTTTTAGGAATTAAGGGTCTATAATTTGGTTTGCAGTGGAAGGA